TATTGTTGAATCGAAGGAGTACTTTGTATGGTCTACAAGCAGGATTTTTTTTTCATGTGTGTGCTCCATAAATATGTAGAGATCTCTAATCTGTGACTTGACTTTTCATTTTCTTGAAATGGTTATACATCCCTTAAGTGAAGTGTTGGACACTAGAATTGTTTCAGATTTTAGAGTTTTTCATATTTTGGGATATTTGCATAGACCACTGGTTGAGTATCTCTAACCTCAAAATTTGAAATCCAAAAATACTCCAAAATGAAACAAGTTTTCAGATTTCAGAGCATTTTGAATTTCGTGTTTTTGGATTAGGGATGTATAGTGTCTTTTGATGAACGGAAATTTTACTTAAGTCCAGTTTACTTCTTTTTGCTTTGAAGATAAGTGTCTGTTATATCTTAAAAAATCTTTGCCTTCTTCAAGGTTATGAAGATGTTTTGTTGCTTTTCTTTTCTAAGGATTGCTTAGTTTTAGCTTTTATGTTTTGATCTGTGATCATGTTGTTAGTTTTTGCTTGCAGTGAGGTAGGGGTCAAATTTTATCTTTTCAATATAAAACTCAATTCTTCCATTAGTTAAGATGACCAGCATTTCTGTCAGTGAAGTAACTCAGTGCTGTATTTTCTTTAGAAATCAGTTGGCATTACTGTTTGCATGGTATTTCTTTTTCTACTCTTTTACTTTTAATCTATGTCTTTGTAATTTTTTTTAATAACATATCCAGGAATTTTTAAAGTGTGTTTTTACAATCTTTGCATTTTATTAGGATTTTTTTTTAAATGTATTTTGTACAGGGTCTACAGGGTCTCACTATACAGATCGGACGCGTAGTGATGATCCTCCTGTTTTCAGCCTCCCAAGCAGTGGGGTTATAAGCATGCCCCACCATGCCCAGTCTCAGTCCTGTCAGTGTGCCCTGGGGCGCGGGGCTGGCATAGTATGCCCAGGACATCAGAGTCTCAGTGCCTGCCTAAGCAGGTGCTTTAATCTGCTGAGCTGTCTGGCCGGCCCTTAATTAGGATTTTGAGTTCATTTATAGTTAACGTAAATCTTGATCCAGTTGTGTTTTGCACTTATTCCTAGTCTGAAATGCTTCTGGATTTCATTATGAGGTCAATGTGAGTGATAAATTCCATAGCTTTTGTAATCCTTTTTTAAGGGTTTTGATTGCACACAGGTATTATATTTTCTAATTCTCTATAGTAGTTTTATGTAGGTGTGGGTTATACAGAAAATTTTAACTCCCAACCTATTAGATGTCAAATGTGCTATGTTCCTGGTCTCACAACACTGAGGAATGAAATCACAAGCCAGAGGAGGAAGTTGGAAGAATTTCACTGGGAATAAGAAGAACTCGAAAGGGCCCGCCAAGATTAAAGCACCTGCAAGCAGGCACAGGGCTATAGGGTTTGATCCCCGGGCCTGCCAGTGCCGGCCCTGTCCCCGGGGCCCACTGAGATGGCAGTTGAGACTGGTATGGTGGTACACGCCTCTTGGGAGGCTGTAAACAGGAAGATCACTACAAATCTGATCTAGTAGTGAGACTCTGAACACCCTGTAGACCCTTCCCTAAAATACAGAAAACCCGAATTTCCAGGTGGGGTCTGTAGTGGGCAGCCACTAAAGTCTTGTGAGGTTAATTTATACACCAAAATCACAACATGGGTACAATGTGGATCAAACGCTAATCAGCCTGTAAAATTACTAGCATATTGCTTAGCTAATGCTGATGGAGTAGGGAAATGAGTCACGTGGCAGTGGTATATGGAAAGATCAAAGGAGTTGTCGGAAATGGGGGGAGCGGGGGTCTGGATGTTCTGGTTGCCCACCTAGGAGGCTGGTGCTGAAAGTGCTACGGATTACAGTAGAATCTCAGGCTACTGTTTCTCTCTCATCTTGCCGGTCTTACCAGTGCCCCTTCCTTCCTGGGGCCAGCATCTCCGGATTTGCCTCCAGCTATAATTCTGATGTCTTTATTTTTTTGTGCTAACTTCTTTGGAGGTCCAATCCCTCTCTGGCTGTATGTTAATTTCTGTCTGTTAGCTGTCTATAGTATGGAGAGGGTGTCCCTCCTTCACCTTCATGTTTGTGAGTTACATTAGGAAAAATCTAGTTGTGTTAGGTCACTTTAGCATTCTTGGAAAATATTTTAAGTGTGCATTTATTCAGTCCATAGTTGTTTATGAGTACTTACGTTAGTGCCAAAAACTCTTAATTCAAAGTGCTGGAGATATGGCCATGAGCAGTAACAAGAGTTTAAAAAGCAAAACACTTGCCTTAGCTTAGTGTGATGGTGGCCGTGGGGCAGTGGTGGGCCCAGTGCCAGAGCGCTGAGGTGGCAGGCGTGCGCTTGCATGTATGTCTGTTGCCTTTTATGGCCGTGCTTCTTCAGTCCATTTTATAAGTATAAAATGTAACATATGCAGTTTTGGCTAGAGAAGAAGTACCTGGAAACAATAAAGGGGAGTAGGGAAAAATATTGCAATCTCTTATTTCAAATGAGAAAGTAATATCTGTGTAATAAAGAGGTTGAGGTGCAAAGGACGATAGCTGGCGGAAGACTTTTCCTCTGAAAGAACAGTTTGGTTTAAAAGGGTGCCCAAGAGGTAGCTTGGGCATCTAAGCACCTGCCTGGCAAGTGCAAGGACCCGGGTTTGATCCCCGGTACCACATACCTTGCCAGCCTTGGAACTCTGGCTGCGCAGTGCTGACCCCCAAAACCTGGCGTGGTGGTGCACACCTGTAATCCCAGCACTGGGGAAGCCGAGACAGGAGGATCACTGCGAGTCTAAATTGTGTAGGTGAGACCCTGTTCAAGATAAATAAATAAATGATTAAAAAATAAAAATTAAAAAAAAAAAAATAAAGGGTGCCCAGTTCAGTGATCTGTGAGTGGAGCCTGAAAGCACAGGCTGAAGCCTCATTTTGCTGTGCCCGTCAGTGCCCGGCAACCTACTCTTCAGGAAAACAAAACAAACAAAATTAAAGGCCTTGCTTTGTGTTGTTTGCTGATTTCAGTGGTGTGAATACTTTTGTGACAGGGTTAATGAGATGGAGTTAAGATTCTATTAGGCGGCAGGGCCAGAGACCTCACAGTGGAGTTGGGAGGCCAAAAGCGGAGTCTGCTGAGTTACGAGGGACCTCATAAAGCTGTGTGCCAGGGGTCTGCGGCCACCTGAGACCTCCGCAGAGTGTGGTCAGCAGGCCCCTGGTTCAAGAGCACATGGACCCTGAGCGCACGCCTGTGAACGGACCTCCAGGTCACACCCATGCGTTATGCTTGGAGGAACTGAACCCAGGGCCTCTGCCCAGCTGCATCCTCAGGGTCTGGCTGAGTCACCAAATTGTCCAGGCTAAGATCTTCCTGCCTCTGCCTCCCAGAGTGCTGAGATAACGGGCGTAACACCACGCCCAGCTGTGCATTACCTTTTTTTGTTGTGCTTCACTTCGATGATCTTAGAACATTTGAAGATTCTGGCACAGTTGTTTTGTAGGATATTCTTTCATTTGGGTTTTTGTGTTTCCTCAAGATAGATTTAGGTTGGGTGTCTTCAGCAGGGATGTCCCAGTGTTTCTGTGTTCTCACTGTATCTAGCAGGGGGCACGTGACTTGGTTTGCTGTGTTACAGCTCATGTCCACCTTGAACAGCCAAGTAAGGTGATACCTGTTGGGATTCTGTATTTTAAAATTACTATTTCTTTGTAATGAAAAAGTATAATAGGGATATGAGACTGTAAGTACTGTCTCTATTCCTTATCAGGTTTTACTTTTCTTTATTTGCATTAAGAAAAGCACACAGATGTTGCTTTTTACTTTTTGAAATCAAGTTATGCCTGATGCAGCTGGGGAAGCCCGACCCCATGGGGCATCCTCTTGGGACATTTCCCTGTCATTCTTTATTTCCTCAGTTTCAAGGTGTTCTGGGCTTGTGTCCTCTTCCTTTTGTTTCAGAACTGTTGGACTTACTTTTCTTCAGGAATCATGGTGATTTATTTTGTTTTAGAATAATTTGGCCTTTAGAGACCCAAACCTGAATACTAAAGTGTACTCATTATGATCTGGTATAACTTTTCCCAGAGACAAGCACTTGTATGTACATGATGTTTATATATTGTTGTGGCTCCTGTGTAGATGTCCCCCCAAAGCCTCATGTCATGGGCGGAGCTTGTTAGAAGAGGCTTGATGTAGGATGTGGGAGTGTGGATTAAGGCTCTGTTCCTGGGATTAAGGGGGTATGGTGCTGGGTTAGCTCTGGAGGAGGGTAATGGGAAGCCCTACCATGGGCATGAGTGGAACCACCCCAAAGGCTTGTAGCCTGGATGGGAAAGGGAGGCCACCGCTTCCTGCCTGCTGTCCGCTGCCTGCTGTCCGCTGCCTGCTGCCCGCTGTCTTCTGCCCGCTGTCTTCTGTCTACTGCCCACTGTGTCAGCTGCCCACTATCTGCTGCCTGCTGCCCGTTGTCTGCTGCCCACTGTGTCTGCTGCCCACTGCCCACTGCCCGCTGCATCCTACCTGCGCTGCTCTGGACTCGTCTGCCATGTCCCTCTGCCATGCTACTCTGCCTTGGAGCCGACTATGGACTGAAGCCTCTGCAAACTTTGAGCTAAAATAAACCTTTCCTCCTTTCACTTGTGGGTGTCGCGTATTGTGTCTCAGTGAAGAACGTAACCAAGACCCACGCGTGTGCATACATACATATAACTGCATTTATACTTACCAACAGTATCTATTTGCATATCGAAAGCCAGCTATTTGCTCACACAAGATGTTTCTAAGTGCAGTCCACTGCCATAGCGTCCATTTTCTCCCTTTCTCTCTGTACCTTTTTCCCGTACATGCGACTCCCGGCCCTCACTCACCCCAGGACTTTGATTTCCCTCTTGAGCCCCCTCTGGGTAACCAGATTGCGCTGGCATCCTTTGCTGCTTCCCCTCCCCCCTCATTACTGACTCATGCATCTGCGTGGACCCTACTTTAAACTGAATGTTTGTATCCTCGAGATGCCTATGTTCAGTCCCAAAGCCAGTGATGGCGAACCTTCTAGAGCTTTCAGTGGTGCAGTCAGCCGGCTGTGTGGGCCATCGGTTCGCCACCACTGCCCTAGGCCCTCCGCCTAACGCTGTTAGGAGGCGGGCCTTTGCTAGATAATTAGGTTTGGATGCGGTCCTGAGGGTGAGGCTCCCATGATGAGGTTGGTGTCCTTATAAGACGAAGAGATGAACTGTGTCTCTGCAGTGCCTTATTTAGGCCATCTAGCAATGGTACGGTGGCTGTCCAAGCACTTGAGCTCAGATCTGCAGGTCAAAACTGTTGAGAAGAAAATTGCATCTCTGCTAAACATACACAGACTTTTCCTTGTCTGCATCCTCGAAAGAATAACAACTGTGTAGGTGGCGTTTACCTCGTATCAGGCACTGAGTAGTGTAGAGACACAGGAGACTGCGCGTAGGTCAGGTGCAAATACTTCGCTGTTTTATGTTAGGAACACGCGCAGCTGCGTTCCATGTGCACCAGGACTCTGAAGGCTGGAGTGTGGGTCCCAAGGGACGAGTATATTTCCCAAAGGTGGCTGGAGCCAAGAAAGCCTCGGAAACCCCACGCTGAGCCGCCTTCCCACCCCCAGTGCAGACGCCCTCCTCACGTGCGGTCCTTTTGGGGACCCTCCTCATCCTGCTAGGTTCCTCACTTCTCTGCCCACTGCGCTTCCCTACCCTCTTAGGTCCTTGCTGTGTGTCAATTCAAGAGTTTGGAGCTGTCTTTTCTTAAAACTGTAGGCTCCTGATAGTCTTGTGTCGTGCCAGGAAGTAGCCTTAAGACTAAGGCTAGTGGGAGGCCCGGCTGAGATTCATAGGCGAGTGCGCGGCCTGCCCGCTCGAGTACTTCTGTCGCAAGGCTCAGCACGTCGCCTCTCGCCAGAGTCCTTTCGGCACGTGCCCTCCCCCTTCCCGAGTTAGTAGCGAGTTCCCCGCAGACCTCCGCTCCGCTCCGCGCCTTGCAGCCTGTGGGAGAGGCCTGCAGCTTCCTCTCGGAGTCTGTACTGGGCTTCCCGTGACTGAAGTAGTGCAGGCCACACACCTGGTGCTGGCGTGTCGCTGGGCTTTGCTTTTGTGTTTTTCTTAAACATGACATGAAAGTTTTTCTTCTTTTTCTCATGTATTTAGTACAGGGTCTATAGGGTCTCACTGCACCGATCGGACTCCTACTGAGTCTCCTGTTTTCATCATCCTGAGCGCCGGGATTACAGCCCGCGTGCCACCACGCCCGTGTGCCACCACGCCTGGCCTCAGTCGCCTCGGGGGCCGGCCGGCAGGGCACACCGGGGATCCAGCCCCAGTCCCTGTGAAGGTTTTTCTCCTGTATCTTTTATTTCGCTTGATTCTGGTTTCCTTACTAAAATCCTGTATGTCAGTTAACAATACTTTACTGATTTACCGTGCCATTAATGCTGGTCTCAGACGCTAGAATAAAACTGACTTGCAGGACTTCCCCGATGTGACGTGAAAGGTTCTTTGACCTGATCCGCGTCACTGAGGATCGGTTTCCCTCGGGGATCTATCTATTTGTGCTGCTATTCTCGAGCGGTTTCACAGCCGCTCTGCAAGGGTTGCAGAGACATCCGTGGGCCTTTTGTTTTTTCTTATTTTATCATGTGGTCTTCATGAACGAGAACTAATGTGAGTTTTACTTTTAATTGTCAGAGAGCCGGAAGGAGGACTTCCCGTGGACGTCACCGTGAGGCCCTTCTCGCTCCGCGTGGTCAGCCCCGAGGGCTGCACCGAGGTCGCGCTGCCAGCAGGGGTCAGGCTTGCGCCGTCCTCCTGCCGCGGGCTGAGCTACGTCTCCGGGGACGGGCTGCACCTGCGGCTGCAGGCGCGGGCGGAGCCCAGCGCCAGTGAGTAAGAGCAGCACTTCTGTTCTGCATTTTCTTTTTAATGTAAATCAAAGGTGGTTTTTGTGTTTAATTGAGATTTTCCCGGGTGAAATGCCTCCCTCGGTGATCTGGAGGAGCTGGAAAAGCGGTGGGCAGGGTCGGAGTCTTTGCCAGCTCTTCCAGTTAGCGGCTATGTGCTTCCTTCTTTTTAGTGTTGTTTTTAAAATATTTTATTTTTAGGGCACTTTTAGGTTCATGGCAAAACCGAGCAGAGACTTCTGTACCGTCTCTTTTGTTTAATTGTGCAGTTTCTCGGCTCATGGTTCAGATCTCAATTTTATATATGGCAATTTTGTTAGGTCCTAGTTGATTTTAAAGCGTTGCATCCAAGCTTTCAGCAACCAGTTTCCCGCGCGCTGTGTGCGACGCATTGGTCTAGGTGCGGGGGAAACAGACAGGAACGAGCTCCGGAGGTCTCTGTTCTCAAGAGGCCTGCGTTCTGCTGCATAGGGACAGACGCTGACCTGATCGTTCTATTTAGGGACTGAGAAGTGCTGTGGGTAAAGCGCAGCAGGCTAAGAGACTAGGGGAGTGGCATAGGGTGGAGCCAAGGGTGGGAGGGAGGGTGCGGAGGGCCAGTCCTAGGAGGTGGCAGGCGCCCATTGCAGTGCAGGGTCCTTGGGAGACTGTTCAGAGGAAGACAGTGATACAAATCCCGAAGTGAAGCGCGCTAGGCCACAACTTGACTTAGATGTCGCTATGCCAGTTACAGTTGCATTTTATAGTTGTAAAACAGTTCAAATTGCATATTAAGAAGTAGGAAATTTTGTAAGAGCGTATGATTATTGAATATAATTATTGGCCTATTGAATCTCTTGCAGTGTAAATAATAATGCTTTGGCGGATTAAAATGTGAAGAAGGGGAACAGAGATCGTAAAAACCTAATACATACTTGTTGTGCTACATATTTGAGAAACATTATGAGGGTCCCTTGCTGCTTCTGTAAGCCTTTCAGCTAAACTGCACGGAGCGGGGAATGGGGTGAACAGGATTTCCTGAGGAGCCGCGTAGGAGATGTTGAGCAGTTCCCTGGCTGGAAAGGAAAGAAGACAAGCAGCCTCTTATCACTTTTGCCTAAGAGTAGTTTCTGCTGAAGTTCTGAATTAGTGAAAGCTAGTTTACGTCGCCCAGTTGGCTGTGGGAGCAGGAGGAAGGGAAAAGAAATGTCATGGACCTGAAGTGGCAGTGGGAACAATCATGGAAAAAGGATGAGGTCACCAGGATGGAAAAAGAGCAGGCTCCCTGAAGGCCCTTAACAGCGGGCTGAGGAGACACTGCTTGGGAAGAGGCTGTGGGAGCCTGGACCTTTGTCATCATCACCTTGCTCTTTATAAGCATTGACTGCAGCAGGAATTTTGTGTTGAGCCTGGAAACTGGGGAGAGGTGGGCATGGAAGCCGCAGTGGCTTCTGGGATTGTGGTTTTAAAGATGGAGGAGTGCTGACCTCGAGGGCTATGGTACTTGGTTGTTGCCTACCTATATTGTATAATTGTGGACATACAAAAAGCAAGACTGCAATCATTTAAATTTTTTAAATCAACAAATACTATTTAGGGCAAATAAATGGGGTGCCATGTGCTAGCTAGCTAGACCATTGTTTGTCCTCGGTGGTCTCTCATTTCTTTACACTTTTGAAACATTTTGCTCAAAAATCAGAAATGGAAAACTTTCAAAGGCTTGTTCCATGGTGCATGAAAGTATATGCAAAGTAGATTCTGCGGCACTTAATTGCTTTACTGCTCTTCACATAATAGGTGTAGAATAAATATTTGCTGTATGAATAAATATTAGGGAGTTGAATTCTGATTTGGATTTAAATCAAAATGTGTGGTAGGAACTGACTTTTGAAACTTAACATTCAGTGATGTTTCAGGGCTTTGTTCCTTTTTTTCTAAGTTGACTTTTGTTGTTGTTGTTTTGAGGCAGAGTCTTACTCTGCAGTTCAGGCTAACCTTGAACTCACTTTGTAGCCCAGGCTGGCCTCAGACTTGCAGTGATCTTCCTGCCTCAGCCTCCCGAGTGCTGGGATCCCAGGTGTGCCACCACACCCAGCCTAAAGTTGACTTCTTAAGTACAAGAACTCCCTCGTAAGGTCCACCATACCAGATGTCATATGTGCACTATTTCGAGTGTAGGGTGAGCCACATCGTAAGCCCTGAAACAGAAACGGTTACAGTACCTCTAGTGCCAGCTTTGCATGTAGTCACAGCGTGTTGCTCTTCCGGGACTCCTTGGTTATTAGGAAGTTCTGGCTTTAAACCTGACCCAGCAGCCAGCAGAGGGTAGTGTTTCACTGAAAATTGGTTTATTAGTTCTGAAAATATTTTGGGTGCCTCATCTGGGTGTCCTTTTTATGTGCTCACCGTTAAATAGAAATCCTCTGCTTTACCTGGATGCTATAGGAATTTATGAGCACCCTTTAGAAATTAAACTACAGAATTTTTAATTGCAAAGGCTTAGACTTTCTCACATCAGTGTTTTAATCCTTAAAATACACACAAAGCAATAGAAACCAAATTCGGAATGCTTGTTTTTAATGGCTACAACCTCATTTCTTCAGCTAGAGACAATATTTTAATGTTTTCATTTGAAGGAAAATTTCCTTTTTTCACAAATGAAATAACATAACTTCAGGGTAGTCTGCTTATACTGCCATTTCACATAGTATAGGAAGTTTTTTTTTTTTTGTTGTTTTTTCTTTTTGCGGAACCAGGGATTGAACTCAGGCCCTTGTGCTTGCCAGGGAAGTGCTTCTTGCACTGATCCATCTCCCTGGCTCCAGGAAATATGTATTTCTCCCATTACTTTTAACATTTTCTCACTGCTTTCATCAGAAATTGAATTTTCCTTTTGGAAGATCAAGTTCTTCCAGGAGCCATCCTGTCCCCAGGCACCTGGAGGTCCATTTTGTTTGTGTATGTTGGTAATGTGCCAAGGTGGACATAAACCTTGCTAAAGGCAGATTTAAATGTAAATGTACATTTTAGGAACTCTGTTCTTTGCAGTCATGCTGTTGACAGATCATGCCTTGAGATGGAGCAGAGGAAAGCCAGGGCCGGAGGAGGCCAGGGTAGCTGGGGAGCGTGAAGAAGGTGGACCCTCCGCAGTCACCCTTTATCCTAAGCCTCATTCGTAGAACGGGAGGAGTAGCGTTCCCAAACTCCATGCGCAATGGGGCACTGCCTAGCCATGGAGCAGTTTTTGAACTGTCTTTGAAAACACAACATTTGCTTCTGATCAAGTCATCTAATAGTACTAATTAAATGTGTATTTCTAGGTAAATTATAGCTAGTGTATATTGATGGCAAGTTACTGGGGCTAGTAAAACTTTTAAGTATGTCACTATGTTTCTTCCAAGCCTCTGAGATTTGCTATCTCATTGATTTTCTTTCAGCGCTGACTTCAGACTTTCACCAAAGCTCCCCAGCCCAAGCATGCTGCACATTTTACTGCCAGTGCTGCGGCGAAGTCCTAATCAAGGACAGGTAAGGATGCATTTGGAACTGGTTAATTCTGCCTGGTCCTGGCTTTTACCTTCACCAGGACTTTCGAAGCAATTACAAAGGGAACAGTGTGGATGGCCTTTGAGTGCATGGCTGTAACATCTCTTTGACCAAAATCAGCTGCTGGCCTCACCAGTGAGGATGGGTCTGTCCTCGAGGTGAGCAGGGCGGCTGTGGTTGAGCGGCGAAGGCTGCCTTGGACAGGGGCTTGGGCCTCACCGGGGCCTCTCTTCCTGGCAAGAGACACAGAGTCTCCCTCTGGGTTTTGTCCGTTGTGATGGTGACTGAGTTTCCGCCTAAGTGAGTTTTCCACCTCACAGAAGCTTGTGCAGCAGGAATTTTGATCTGAGCTGTTTCTATCAGCGCCTTTCTAAAATCCATTTCCTATTTCCTCCTCTTATTAGAACAGAGCATGCAGAGCACAAATTAACCTTTTCTCAGTGATTAGGTTAAGCTTGTAACCCATTTTTGTGATGTGCTGTGATTACCCTATTGAGGCAGGCAGGACTTTGCTATTTTCTTTGCATTCCCACATTGGCCTTTTGAATTACTCTTTGTCTTCTGTCATCCTCCTGTCAGATTCTTCTTCCTTTTTTTTTTTTTAGATTCTTTTTTCTTTGGTACAAACCCCACTCCCTGAATTTCAACTTCAAATCACTCATAGGCTGGAAAGACAAATGAAAACCTTATGGATGCTGACAGTATTTAAAGAATTTAGACCTCGGCCTGCATGGGTTTCCTGAAACCAGTGCCTATAACTGAAGCTTCGCTGAGCATGAACCCCACTCCTTCTTCAGTGTCTTTGTCTCCGCAATGCCACCCCTCTACCTGTGTTCTCAGGGTAGAGACCTGGTGTTGCCGTGGGTCGCTCCCTGTCTCTCCCTAGAGACGGCCACCAGCTATTTTGGTGGCACCCTTCGGGTCATGGGCTCGCTTTCCTCTCCCCCCAGTGCCATGGCCTTAGTGGTGCCACTGTCTTGTCACTCACCACGGTTGCTGCCGGGCCTGCGCCTGCTTAGCCTTCTCACTTGGCCCTCCTTTGATCCATTACCCCCCCCCCCCATCGCTTGGTTCCCTTTTAACAGGGGTCTCTCTCCCTTTTCCTATTATCTTTTATTTTGTTCTTCAATTTATTTATATTATAGGTTTCTCATATAAGAGAAACCATGCCAAATTTAAGCTGCTGTGTCTGATTTATTCCCTTGTCAGGATGTGGCCTTGAAGTCCTTAGCAGGCCTTCTTCCCTTTGTGGTTTATCCCTCCCCTAATGCCCAGCCCGCCCCTGCGCACCTCGGGCACCCTACTCTCCGTGCTGCTCCAGGGGTCAGTGTCGAGCAGTCCTGCGGCCTTTTCCCCGCTTGTCCCCAGGACCTTGTGGAAGCTGCTCCTTCGGGCGCTCCCCACCCCACATCCTCCCCTGGCTGCTCCCAGTGCTGGCAGGGTGTGCTACCAGAGGCCCCCCGTGGACCTGGCTGGTGTAAGGTGCTCCGCTGTGGTTTATTTTTGCCTGTCTCCGTAATTAAACAGTAACCCCACAGGTCGGAGTAGTCTCACTGATCTCTGCGTTCTTCATTCCCACTCTGTCGGGAGCACAGGGTGTGGCAGCGGCTGGTGTGGGCACGGACGCCACACTGCGTTTCCAGTTGAGCGACTGTGGAACTTACCGACTCGCTCTGTGCCTTGATTTCCTTCTTGAGATAATGTGGATAAGAGTGTGCCTCATCTCCTGGGGATTTGGGGGGGGATAAAATGAGTTTAAGTGTTAATCAATACGTGGTAACTACTGCGACAGTGTTTATCCTTACGTCACTGTCATGAGCGTCAGGGCGCAGTGCCTGATGAGTGATGGGGTCCCAATCACTGTTTCCTGGGTCGAGTGGATGAGACTAGTGTACGTACTTAGGGCTTCCTCCGGGGTTCCTTGTGTGCTCTCTGGTTCTTGACAGTGTTCCAGGTAGACGAGGTGACCCCAATTACACTCGTGTTTGGGGAGGCTTTGGAGGCAGCATCATCAAAATGATTATCTTGAGCAAGGAAGGATGTGACTTTAAATCTACAGAGGAGAGAGGAGCATCTTTGTTCAGGTTGCCCTGGAGTGTGCACTTGGGGACAGGCCCGCTCTACCTGTCCCTAAGGAGCGGTCCAAGGCATCCCAGCCTCACTGCTGTGTAACCACAAACCTTGTCCTCCTTTCAGCCTACTTCAGCCTTTGGCTTAATTCTCAGATGAAGTTTCTGAAACACGCACTCCTATCCAATAATGAGGCGACCAGAAAGCGACCAGATGGAACCTGTTAAATTCTGTGTAGCGGTGTTCCCCGCTACCCTTTCTAGGAGGGAAAGCAGTTCTTTCTTCATCAACTGGTGTTCATATTTCGCTGGAAAAGGATGAGGCTGTGATAGATGCCTGGGGTTCCTGTTCAGGAATTATATCTTCTGTTTCTGTCAATCCTTGCTGCCACCGTGAAGTTAATGTGGAAGGGCACAGCAGCTGACGCTGGTGGACAGCCTCATTTATTCTGCATAGCCAGAGCTTTGGGAGGCCCTGGAGTGTGTAGGCCCGGGGGCGGGACCTGCGTTTTCACTTCAGCTTTACCATGTAGTAGCTGGCACCCCTATTTGTATCATTTCAGCTTCTCATAGGCCTTTTTTTCAAACTTGTCAATAGAGTTAAGGAATGTAACGTGGAAGAGTAAATGCTCAACCAACTCTTTTAAAATGTTTTTATGAACCCCTGTCCCCTTTCAAAGTGTTCTTTTTAGAAAAGTAGCAAATATTCTAGTTCAGGGTTGTTCAAACGTTCTGATTGACACAGTCTATATATATCAGAAAAATAAATCACCTCTCTGAGGTGAGAAACTGTACCTGGTCCTTGGCTTTTTCTAGCAAGGCTCACCTGGGAGCCTTTTCTTGGCACCCCCCCGCACCCCGGGTCTGGACTATAGAAGTCTCTTGACAGATGGACAAATCCTTAGCATGTGGCCGTGGGCCTGCTGTCGTCTCCCTCTTGTGTAGCTTCCAGCAGTGGAAAAGGTTGCTTCCTCTGTCTCAGCACGTAGGTGGCGTGGCGGCCTGTGTGTCTTCTCTTTTCCCTGATTACCTATTGCTGTATATGGAAGCGGGAAGGAGAACTGTGGTGCCCTTTGAGTGGAAAAAAGCCAAAGGTGTTCCAGAAGAGCTTGCAGGAGCGTCAGCCTCGTGTCGCCTAATGGTAAGCATTTTTCTCAGGAAGAGCCTTACAGCCTCAGACTACGTTGACGGATCCCCTGGGAGATCCTCAAGTGGGAGGCATGGCATCGAGCTCAAATCTACTTACTGAGTAGCTAGAAATAAGCTACTTTAATTTTATGGGTCTCTGTTTCTTTATCTATAAAATAAAATAGTTGGATTAGACAAACCTGTCAGTCTTGGCAGCGTGAAACTCCTCTAATCAGTGAGTCTCAAAAAGTTGTAGTTTGAATTTCTGATATTCTTGACTATTTGGATAGTACAGGGCTAAAACTTGATTCTTCCTCCTCCTCCCCCTCCTCCTCCCACTTTTCCCCCCTCCTTCTCCCCCTCCTCC